GGGGGAGAGTGAGTCACCCCCCCTCAGAATTCTAGGTGCCTGCCACCCCAGGATTGCTTGGGGCTGGGGAGCAAGAGATGGAGGGGGGCCATCTGGAAGCCCCCTGCCCAGCGTCAGAAGACCTCCCTCCTGCTTCAGAACCAGAACCAAGGGGCTTCTGGAGCTCTCTGTGTCCGCTCCGGTACGCGCCGTTGAAGAGTTCTTCCCCGGCCTGCCTGCCACTGCTTGCTTTCCGGAGGCCTCCGGCAGCCGCTTCACGCTTGCCGCCCGGGTCCCGGAGCTGCTTCGGTGGGTGAACCGGGGCTGTGTTCCGTCGCACCTTCCCCGGGCCCGAGCCCACCCTGTTTGAGGAGGAGCGTTTCGCGGCTGATCAGGGAGGCTCCCGCGAGCCGGCCTCTGCTGACGGGAATTTCTCTTTGGCTTTCAGGAGACCCCGACCAAAGAGCTGGGGCACTGCGGAGGAGATGCCCACGACCCCGAGTTGAGCGGCCGCGGCCCGGCACCGCCTTCGGGTTCTCCCTACCTGAGCAGGTGCATAAATTCCGAAAGCTCGACCGATGAAGAAGGTATTTCCCTTCGTTCGTGGGTTTAAAAAGAAACTAAAAGGTAGTGGGCTGTGAGTGAGGGAGGCTTTTGTGGAGGGTGACGTCACGTACTGCTGTAAAGGACATTGTCAGGACCCCGGGGAGCAGCTCTGCCCCCTGTCGGGCCGAGTCGGTGTTGCTTGGTCTACAGGCACTCTTGTGTGCCTGCCCTCGGCCCTCTGCTCTTTCTAACAGAATCAGAGAAGGAAAACTGGGGTGTATTTTTTTCCCTTTTAGGTGGAGGCTTTGAATGGGATGATGACTTCTCCCCGGACCCTTTTATGGCGAAGACAACAAGTAACCTTCTCAGTTCCAAGCCTTCCCTTCAGACGTCCAAGTACTTCTCGCCGCCTCCGCCGCCCCGGAGCGCAGAGCAGAGCTGGCCTCACACGCCGCCATATTCCCGGTTCTCCATCTCGCCTGCCAACATCGCCAGCTTTTCTCTCACTCACCTTACTGACTCGGACATGGAGCAAGGAGGTGAGAGGAGGGCTGTGTGTCCAGCAGGGCTGGGCGGGCGTCGGCCTGCGAGACCTT